AAATTAATGTTTTAAATATAAAATGTTGAATACAGAAATATTAAATGATTTAAATAACTGAAATTATAGGCTAAAAATGAAACTAAATCCGCCAGCAGGTGGCAACAAGTCACTGATTTTATCACTGAATCATTCATTCAATTGATTCGTTCGAACGGCTGAATCATTCAGGAATGAATCTTTATGGACTGACGGAACACTTCAATCCCTGCATTTTGCTTCTCAAGTAAGTGTGTTGATTTAAGCATCTTCAGACGTTTGCATCAGACAGAGATGATGTGTTTGTGACTGTACTGTCTCTCAGCCGTGGATCTGAAGACGGGCCGAGGATCTGTGCACAGAGGAGCCGGCGGCGCTAAAGCAGACGTGATCTTCACCGTCGCAGACGAGGACTTCATGCAGCTGCTGACGGGCAAACTGAACCCTCAGAAGGTGCTGCGTCTCTCACACGAGCGTCGGGCTTCAGCCCTGTTATTCACACTCCTCCTGCTCGGTGTTTGTCCCGCAGGAGTTTTTCTCCGGCAAGCTGAAAGTCAAAGGGAACATCACGTTGAGCCAGAAGCTGGAGGCCGTGCTGAAGGACTACGCCAAACTCTGAAGACCCTTGATCGTGAAGGAGTCACACATCTAGCTGCATTAATCATTCGTTTCCAATAATGCTCAATGCACTGATGCTTACAACAAAAGACCACATGATCGTTAATAAAAACCCAGCAAAGAAATAAAGATCTTGCATTGAGTCATTTATTTTCTCGTTACAGTCATGTACATTACAGATCTCTTCATACTCATTATAAAATTAGATTCATTTGTGTGTATATTATTCACATTTGAGAGGTTAAAGGGCAGAATCCTTACATCATTATATCAGCAGTGATCTGGGTGAAGAAACAATCATTCAACTTCATTCAAAGGGGAAACATGATTTTTGTTCTTGTTTTAAGCTGAATTCACTTCAAGTCATTTCATTCGTTCAGTCTTGATTTGAGGATGTTTACTGAGAAATCCTGAGGAAGAGCATCATTTTCTGCAGTGAAGAAGAACATGGAAATCGTTCGACGGCAGATAAAAGCAGCGTAAAAAATAAATCCTGAACAACGTTTCTACAACCAAACGTCTGCAAGAGCCTCGATGATTATAAATATGCTTTATCTTTACCACAGAATCATTTCATCAAGTCTCGTGTTCAACTCCATATTTACACTGGAAATAAAAGTGTCTCCCGATCGTCCTGATTCAGAAATGTTATGATGTTTCGGCTCCACGCGGATAATCTCTACATGCAAAGTGCTTCATCTTCAACCTCAGGTAACATTAACACTATCAGTGCCTGTGTGAAAGGAATGGAGCAGCCAAAAATGAAATCCTGCCATCGTTTGCTCTTCCTCAGCTTGCACGAGCGTCTTTCGTCTGCTAAACACTACAGAAGATGCTCTGGAGACCAAACGGCTGCCGGTACCCATTGGCTTCTATAGTATGGATGTGAATGGGTACCGGCAACTGTTTGGCCTTCAGAGCATAAACATGATTTTTGTTCTTGTTTTAAGCTGAATTCACTTCAAGTCATTTCATTCGTTCAGTCTTGATTTGAGGATGTTTACTGAGAAATCCTGAGGAAGAGCATCATTTTCTGCAGTGAAGAAGAACATGGAAATCGTTCGACGGCAGATAAAAGCAGCGTAAAAAATAAACCCTGAACAACGTTTCTTCAACCAAACGTCTGCAGGAGCCTCGATGATTATAAATATGCTTTATCTTTAACACAGAATCATTTCATCAAGTCTCGTGTTCAACTCCATATTTACACTGGAAATAAAAGTGTCTCCCGATCGTCCTGATTCAGAAATGTTATGATGTTTCGGCTCCACGCGGATAATCTCTACATGCAAAGTGCTTCATCTTCAACCTCAGGTAACATTAACACTATCAGTGCCTGTGTGAAAGGAATGGAGCAGCCAAAAATGAAATCCTGCCATCGTTTGCTCTTCCTCAGCTTGCACGAGCGTCTTTCGTCTGCTAAACACTACAGAAGATGCTCTGGAGACCAAACGGCTGCCGGTACCCATTGGCTTCTATAGTATGGATGTGAATGGGTACCGGCAACTGTTTGGCCTTCAGAGCATTTTCTTTAGTGTCTAGCAGACGAAAGACGCTCGTGCAAGTTTGGAGGGAGAGGAAATTATGGCTATTTTTATTTTTGGGTGAACTATCGCTTTAAAGCTCATCATCTCAATAAATACTGCTTACTGTAGTAATATACAATACCTTACAAAAAATGGTTATTAGAATGACCGCACATCATTTGACACACGCAACAGAAGCCAGGGGACGTCCAGCGCGAGGGTAGAAATATAAGGACACTTATCACTATATTGAGTCTAGAGCACGATCACAACACCGTTTGGCTAGTTAAGGCTTTACTGATATATATAGAGATATATATTCCAGGTTAACTTGAGAATGCTGAGCAACTCGTACAGTGTGCTTGAGCGCAGGATTC